ATATAGAGAGAGAGAGAGAGAGAGAGAGAGAGAGTCTGTGTAACAATAATAATTATTTAATTTATTAAGTCTTGATTAAAATTTAATCTATTTATTATTAAATAACTTCTGTTTCTTTTATTTTGATTTTTATTTCTTCGCGCAACACTATTCATATATGTAGATACATTCATCTATTCATTCATTTTTTTGTAAGTATTGCAAGTATATTATTACTTATATCCTTGTGTATTATGAGTAATACCCGTTTGGTTTGTTTCTTTCCTTTTTTATATTGCATAATCTTGCATTATCTTGTTAATTTTCACATTAATTAGTTTGTTTGTTTCGATTGATTGCGTCAGAGAATCGGAAATTCTCAATTTTTATATTTATCCTTCCTTTATTTTCTTTTTTATTTTACAAAAATGGTAGATGCAAGAGTAGGTCCAGAGTTATAAAAAGACAATTCAGTTTTTTGAATGTTTAAAATTTATTTTAAAGAGATTTTACCGCGATTAATAATTAATCAAAATATTATAACATTAAGTATTAAAATTAAATTTTTAATGATATTCATTGATTATAAATTTATGTAATCGTGCCAAATTTATAGATAAATACTGAAATATCCATATTCAAAATATATTATGTACTTAATTATATTTTATATTGCAAGATTACTTTATGTTAAGTGTACTCTAAACCGCATATATCTTATAATTTTAATAGCCTCACAAAACTCTGTTGAGATAATGTTACAATTTAAACTTTTAGTGTTAATGATTACTACTTGTTTTATCAAATTTATTGTAAAAATTACAATGTCTATTTACTCGATTGAGTGATGAGTACTATATATGATCGTTCCCCACCCTGATCTTCCACACACCCTGTTCTCATCTTCTTCTCTGTCTACTTTTTTTATTTATCGTTACCATCTTTCATTCTTTATAAAATAGGAAGAAGTGGAAGAGAAGCGCATATCTCTGGCGTCAAATGTCTTAACATCCTTGAATACTTGATATCTACTCACACGACCTTCTGCGCGATGGATTTTCGTTTCGGTTTGATTGCAATCTTCCTAGTCACTGATATGATTTCTACCCGATCCACTGGTAAGAAAAATTTAGAACTATTATTAATAATATATTGTTTCAAGTTTTACTTATTGTCAGATCCTGTGAATTATTTTGTGTTGTTACTGCGTTAGTATAGTGATTGGTGTTTACACAGTTGTAAACGTTATTATAAATCCTCTAAAAAATCCGTACATATTCCTAAATGGATATTTATTTGATAATCATATCGGTATTGTCATAAAGAAGATTTTTTAAATTTTCTGATTCTATTATTTGCGTTCATTTTAAAAAGTTTAATTAAAAATTTTTATATTGTTTAACTTTAAATTATAAAAATTTATATATTAAATTAATATATTAATTTTATTAATAATTAGAAAGTAAATAGATATTACATTACGTATTATAATATAAATGCAAAATAACATATATGTATATAATTATATACTTATATTGTATATATGTATGTTTATAAAAACATATATATAATTTTTTATTTTACATATATTTTAGGTAATAGCTTTTCAAGAAAAAAAAGAACTTAAACAATATTCATCACAATAATGATTTATAAATAATCCCAATATTCAACACAATCCTTTTCTGGAATTTTCAAATAGCAACAAAATTATTCTTATCAAAATTTATTCTTGTCAAATGGTTCTACATCATGAGCATCCAATACAGTTATCTTTCGTAATAGTAATTTGTATAACTTACTTAATAATAATAATAATCCCTTTTTGAACCTTATTAAATCCAATACAAGATATAGTACACAATCTTCTACAATAGTTCACAATTTCTTACGCAAATATCTTACGTATCACCATTATATTATCATATTAGCACCAGATAATGATTCTACATCTGACACCAGTACTTAATATTTCAGTATTTAGTACATCAGCACCAGATAATAATTCTACATCTCGCACTCCTGCTCCTTCAAATAATTGGCCTCTAAATTCATGTTTATCATCAATAAGGGATCTATTAGCCTTTAAGAGTTCAGTGAAAACGATATCAGAAGGTAGTAAGTAAATGTAACTATATATAGAAGAACTTATAGAATTAAAAAATTTATAGATATAAAAATGCAAAAATTTAATTTAATTTATTTTTTTATTTAATATAGACGTTTATAAATATATGTTTATAGGTGTTTGTAAAAATATAAATGTTTATATATGTAACAGATCAGGCACTTAGATGTTTGTATGGCGATTGACTCAATTTTCTTCATACATTCAACAGATCTTTATATATTAACATAATCAAAATAATCACGTTAAATAAATTTCAGAGTGCGAGGAATATGCAAGAGAAATTATGGGTACAATAATCAAGCTTAATTCGTCGGATATGCGGTGACTAATACCTGCAAGGGTGCGAATCGCTTAGTGACTGATGGTATTGAGGCGCAAGAAGGTGAGTTTCCTCATGGACATGGTCGCCGTAGGTAAACGCAATTCCGACGAGGATGAGTTCGTTCCGTTTTGCGGAGGCACACTGATTTCGCATACCTGGGTACTTTCTGCTGCGCATTGCATAAACAATATACTGTAAATTTCTGTTATTTTTTTCGATTTACTTTACGAATTCTGACAAAAAAAAAATCATTTTTTTTCTTAGCTGTCTAGTTATTCTATTGAATGCAACAATGTGGATTAGATAAAATCACGAAATTTTAAAATACTTTTTAAGACTAATTCTATAATGTTTTATAGATCTCGAATGAGAAAGTATAGAATTTTCAGAGTTACTAATTTTTTATATTTTAAACCTATTAATTGCAAATGACGTATGTAATTGCAGATCTTCAAGAAATTTATAAGATTAATCTTACAATTATTTAAGGAGTTGATTAAGAAAGTTAGTCTTATATATTGTATTTTTGCAGACTTGCAAATGCCGTATAAATAGGAACAAATAGATTGACGGACCAGAAAGGCGTTATTATTGCCATTAAACATGCGATAAGACATCCCGGTTATAAACCACCCGCGATGTATGCAGACATAGGTCTAATAGAGCTCATGAACCCTATCACATTTAACACATTCATACGACCTGCCTGTCTTTATCAGCAATATGATACTGTGCCTCGAAAGGCTTGGATTACTGGCTGGCAAGCTAGTCTCGATGGTAGGTAATCCGATAATTTCTTGTTCAAAAATTTGAAAACTGCGCAATCATAGAGTTTGAAGAAATAGTCGTAAAATTTTAGACATCTACATTTAGTAAGAATCTGTATTATGAGATTTTTAATAAGAGCTTTTTATTATTAGTATAAAAGATTTTTATAAGATAGAAATACCGATTTAAATTAAATTATATGCTTTAGATGTTTATGTTTTTAACGAACGATTGTTAAAAACTCAACTGGATGTAATAGACAATCTATACTGTTCAGTAGAATACAACGATTTTGAATTTCCAATTTTTATGGTATTGCAACGAGTATGATCTGTGCTGGCAATCCTCACAATAATATTAAAGATTTGTGCCAAGGATATTCTGGTGGTCCTCTGCAAATTTATCCTGAGAGCAAATGTCTCTTTCAAGTAATCGGTATTATCAGCTCTGGTAAAGGCTGCATACAAGACCAAATCCCCAATGTTTATACTAGAGTATAAACATCTCATTATCTTCCGTGGATTGAAGATAATGTCTGGCCACATGAACAATAATTAAAATTAGACTTACAAAAGGAATTAGATTTTTACAAAAAAATATCTTTTATTGTATTTAGCGAAATCAAGTTTTACACAATTAACTATCAGTTTAGTTATTAAATTACAAGTCTGCTTAATTAAGACGTTTTATAGCATTTGCAAATTTTTTTTATTTACTATTTTATAATATGATAATCTTGATTTATTATATAATAATTTGTGATTTTTATAGAATATTGGAATGTAAAATAAATTAACAAATTGCAAGAAGGTATAAATTATACATGTAAAATTGATGTTGATATTTTGAATTTTATTAATCAAACGAAATATTACTGTCATGGATTTTTCTAACTGTCATTATAAGGACTATAATTGTTATATCAAGTTGTTACATTTTTGTAACGTATATAATTAGAATTTTGTCTGTTGTTTCATAAATAAGATGTTAAAGAAGTGCATAATATGTTAAATCTTGAAATCTTTTGAAATCATATTGTCTGTATATTAATAAAATGATGATATATGTATAATATTATATATATTTTATATATCTAATTATAATGTATAATTTAGCTTGAAGCTTTGCATTGTGTGCATTTTTTTACAAGTTTTATTTCTTTAATAATTTTTTAGATATATCATCTGCATTACCATATTAAGTCCAAATACCTGTTATTTGTTAACTACAAAAATTTTTTTGTTGCTATAGAGTTTAGCAAAAAGTTTAAATTTCTTTAGAGTAATTTTCTTAATATGTTTGAACAAGTATATATAACGTGAATGCGACATAATTTTTTTTGGATATTTACAATAATTAAGTATATTAAATCACGTTTGGTTATCTGAGAATTTTCCATATCAATTAATATTCTTTGAAACTTTGTTGCTCTTAA